AACATCATAAGACAGTGCAATTGGTGACCGCAAAAACCTTATTTTAAAAAGTAGGTCAGTCTCAGTTTATTCAACTAGGACCAGAGGAATATGCAGCAATCCCGACATTGTCTTACTCATGATAGTCCATAAGTTGGTACGGTCTGGTACGGGCTTTATTCATGAAGCAAGATTTCATAAGGAACCCTCTAGCTGTTTTGTGGAACACCCCATCTCATATGTGAGTGTCATATATCTGTAAAGTTGTATGGTACAGACTTAAAGTTAAGTATATTCAGACAGGTATCACTCGTCATTGTGCAGGATCTAGAGATGCAAAAATAGACCACTGTAGAGTAAAATATATATAAAAAGGGAACTTACCAATTCAGAGCCAGTAATGGGTATGTAGAACTGCAACAGGAAGAAGTCGATATCCAGAAGCAGATGAAAAAAATGTGCAACAAAAGTAAGTGGGATAGTCCACATGTCAGTTTGCATGAACTCCTCCAACATATGATGGTAGTGAAGAGCCAGAGAGAGAGAGTAAGGTGTTGGATTTGGTGATGATCCAAAAAGTATAGGCTAAATGGATGAGGTGCTGTAGCCATCCTTTGAGAGTAATAGGAGAAATATTTCTGAGAGATGAGGAATTCTAAAGAATAAATAGATGTGAGCATGAACCATGAAAAGGAGCAGAGTGGGCCAAATAACTACATGGATGAGATAGAGAAAACAATTCTGAACAGAATAAAATACTGAGAAATGGAAGAAAGAAAATACAGGAAGCAGCAAGGGCATACACATCATATCTCCTATGGCCACATGCAAAAAGTATGAAATAGGATCTAAGCAAAGGATGATAAAAGGAACAAGAGACTAAGGGTGTGGAGAACAATATTCAGGTCAAAATCAGGAAGGACTGCAAGATGAGGAGGAATGTCACAATGAACAAAAAAGCATAGAAAGGAGAGGAGAATACATGATGATAATAAGAAAACCCAAAAGTATAAGGTAGAGCTGCCCAACAACCAGCCATGGTTGAAAGTGATCAGTCTTGTCTAAACAGCCAATGAAACATTTCAAACAAATGGGGGATAGAAAAAAGGGAAAGGAAGAAAACATGTCATGGATTGAGAAGGAGGGAGGAAGAACTGGACAAAAAGAAGAAAGGCTAAATGTAAAAAGAGTCTAGAACATCTTGCAAGGGATTGGACAAAACCCACACGTGAAGTCAAAGTGATGACACTGCTGGATGGAAAAAGAGAGGAGTGAGGTTGAAGGAGTAGGGAGAGTGATTCAGGTAGAGGAAGAGAAGACAGGAGAAGGTTCAATAGAGGAAACCATGGCTAAGCCAGCCAGTAAGGAGTTATCAGTAGGATCCAACATGGAGTGTCCAGAATGAGAGAAAACATGAGGGAGGAGATGAGTAGGATGATAGGCATGGAGAAAAAATTGGACTAGTCCAGACAGAATGCATCCCAAGTTAAGGCTGAGGGAAGAGGAACAGGGAACCAGAAAAGAGGAAGTAGGGTGTTGAGAAAAGTGGCAAAAACATCAAGAAGAAGAGTGTCCAGATGAGAGCACAGCAACTTGGACACCAGACGAACAAGGGACCAATCCATAGGTAGTAAGTTGGCAGCCCTCGAGGGACAATACACTCAAAACTCAGGGCATCCGGAATAGAACAACCTATTAGACTTACAAGTATAGAATGGGACAAGAAAAGGATGACACTAGTGTGGAAACAGGGAAAGCAAAATGAAGTGTGCCCCTGGTGACTGATAAAAGGGACAATTGCAGAGTTTACTGCATGTTTCATCAAGAGACATCTAAGAACTATTCTAAAAAAAGAAATCTAAAATCGATGTACTGCCAAGTTTCCAAATCCTAAGGTATGAATTTGAAGGAACAACATTTTGTGGTACCAATGATCCGAATTCACATCAGAGTTGATACATGCCCCACATCTTGCTAAGGTGGCATCTGGAAAAAAGAGGAGACCCTGGACAAGAGGAAGAGGAATACTCACTATAGAAGTAATTTTATAAAGTCACCAGATAAAGTCTTTGAGTAAGAAAGAAGGAAAGAGAATGGTTGAGGACAAAGGATCCCAAACAAGGATCGAGAGTACATGCAGTCCATTGTAAACGTTGCAAATGAGCATGATCCAAGGGTATACAGGATTGCATAAAAGCCCAAGTCCCCAAAAGAGAGAAAACCTCCTGCACAGTGAGGATGAGACATAAAATTATAATGCAGCCCTAACATGTAACACTAGAAATAAAATCATACCAGTAAAATCATAAAGGCAGATGAAAGGAGCCAGAAGAAGACATATAATATACAAGGGAGACAAAATCAATTGAGTAACAAGGCATCACACCCCAACTAACTCTAACAAGAGATCAACCAAATAAGAATTGAAAATGCCAAGAAAGATAAGCACACAACTGTAGATAAGATAAGTGAATGAGCATCCATCAAAAACCCCACAGGGGAATGATGAATTACAACAGAAAGAAAGTTAAAGAAGGAAAAATCATGGAAAAAAAAGATAATATAAGAGGATGGTAGGAAAACCTAAGAAAGAATAATAAAAGATAAAGGATCTGACCCCTAAATCTGAAGAAAATACTCCAGAGCTTAGGAGTCAAAGAAAAACAATATAGCACAAAGTTATGCCTAGTCATATGAGGTAACAAAGGAAGGAGGATGAGGCATGTATGCCCCAAAGTAGTGGTAAAAATAACTGAAAATCTAAAAAACTTAGCTGAGAAACCTAGTCATGCAATAACAAAAGAAGGCTGAGGTAGAATCAAGATAATATGGGTATACGATGAAACAGAGGTAGGTGGGAAGAAAATGGCAAAACCTCTTCCATCACAAACAAGAAACACAGGCAAAGGTACATCAGAAACAAAAGAAGGCTTAGGCTACATGAAAGACTCCCCCACCTGCCTTACAAAAACTGTCACCTTTCCAAACAGACAAAGACAAACCCAATGCTAATATAGTTTGTAGGCTAGTATGAACAATGCTGTGTTGTTTCCCACCAGAAAAAGTGGAAATTACTGACATTTGTGAAACAATGTCTTTGTAGATACTCCCATTGAGAAACACCTACATCTGAAAATTTCCCAAGTAAAAAACCATACATCATAACACTCGAGTATCAAATCAAGAAGTGATGATTGTGCTCTACAGTATAGAGGGAGTCAGCTGTATTAAGACGGTGTGTTACACTCCTATTGGTGGGGGGCTGTCACATGCTCATTTGCATGCTACAAGACAGCTATACCACATGATGTTAGGTGGGAGCCTCAAATCTGGTAGCAAGCAAAAATTGTGCATATAAAGGCAGCACAAATCGAGGAAAGCTATTATGTGAGAAGATGTATCATATCAGAAATTTCTTTATGACTGGGTATATTACTTGTATTTCATAGTTATATTTAAATATTTTTGTGTTTATTTACTTTATTAAATTAAATTTTTACAATCTGACACAAACACAATTCATCTAAGTTAATTAAACTTGATATCTACACGTACTTAGACATACATGTAGGTACCCATTGTAAATGTACAACACATTGCATATGATTTTTCTGCAATAATTCATATACATGTACCTATTGAACAAAAATGTAAAAAACATTTAAACTAACAACATAAACCACACCATTAGTTTATTATAATTTTGATTTTAAGAGTGATAAGGTTACTGTAATCTTGCAAAAAGGGTATCAACATGTTGAAAAGTATTCTAGTATCAGCTTCTATTGTAATATCCAGTTCATATATTTTAAAAATAAAAGGAGAGGCTTATAGTATTTGACTTGTTTTCTTTGATATAGAAGACTAAAAATGGCAAGATTCGTGTGCAGAGAGGATTATAATTACAAACTTGAATGTAACTGTAAGAGTAATAGGTTCAAGCTTTGTAAACCAAGATGTAGACTTGTTTTTCAACTAAATGATCTTTCAGTTAGAGATGTGTAGTTTGTTCAAACCATTTTAACATTTTTGTTGGAATGTTGCATTTGTTTGTTTTATTTACCTAAATATTCAGTACTTAAAGTTAACACAAAAAGTGTAGTCACAGTGTAACGACATTTTAAAACACAAAATTATTAATATTTCTGTAACAATTAAGGAAAAAAGAAATGAAAGGTCAACATTTTAGCAATTGGCCAAATAAGAATTAAGTGGTTTCAGCCTTCATCTTTCACTGAAATCTTGGCCAAATAAATTACTTGTACATTACTTGTAATTATTTAGTTATTTATCTTCCTTATGCATGTGTGTCTTTATATGTATATATAACGTTATCATTTAAAACTTTGAAAACAAAATATATAATTTTATTGTTCCTACACAAGGCCTACTATCAGTATCATTTTATTTTCAGTACGTAAGTTTTTATTATAAAAATCAATATAAGTTATAACTTTTGATGCTATACTGTATGTACGACAATTATATATATTGACATGGTTAACTCAAGTTAAACAAGCTAATAACACTGTATTACACAAACACTCTTTAGGAAGTCAAAGAGAGACTACGTTGTCCAGATAAATTAATAAGATTATGACTATGTGAGTTTAAGTAATAGTAATATGAGTAAGAGTGCAACAACTTGAACAAGATTGAGTGGTTTTCATTAATTGAATTCAATCACTGTGGTAATGTTCTTATGAAAAATCCTTCTACCTTGTGTTTCATTAAGAAGGCGACGATATTCGTGTCGTATTAATCGTCTTTCTTGTTCTTCTTCAACTTCATCAGCAAAAGAAATATCACGCATTTCCCTGTCTAAAATTTCATCGTTATCAGCCATTTTATTATTTTTAATAAAGTTGCGGTAAAATTTTAGCGACATCTGCTGACTATTTTGTGCATTACAATATTATTTATTTTACAAAGAAAATAGTAACTTCTAAATCTCAACGTTGATTAGGTTTAGTATGCTTGTGTTCTATTCACTACTAAAATTCTGCTTATACAGTAAAATTGCATATACAAACATGGATTGCACAGTAAGTCACCAAAGTGATATTTCTTATTTGAGATAGGTTTCATTTCTTTGAATTCAAAGATTAGAGAATAAATTAGATTTAAATTCGATGACGAGCAACCCACTTTGAGACTAATAATGGTTGGAGACGGCTTGAATGGGTAATG